TGGTAAAAATCATGGTCCAGACTTTTTTGAGTAATCCAGTCCTCTAGCATGACCTAGTCAGTATAACACAGCCAGATGCTAAAGGTAGGATCTTTCTAATAAAATGTAGACCTCTACAGTGTAAATATATATAGCTGAGATGGTCATCCTTACTTCCATATATGTCTGTAGAGAAAAAAAAGGCATCATCTAATCTACTTTGAGGATGAAATGAATAATGTCTCAGGCTCTACTTATTAGATATCCAGAGCTACAAAATAAGCAAGGTGACTTGCTCATTTGTAGTGTAGATGCATTTGCAGGCATCAACATTTAATTAGATGAATCCTATGCTGAGTGTACGTGACCCAAGAAACTGTCATTCAGCATCTGAGTAACTCCTGTGCCATTCTTTCCTAGCCCCAGGGTTGGGAGCAGGTCAACAGAGTCTGGATGGGAAAAAATAAAATGAAAAAGGGTGCGTATGTATCAGCAGTGAGCATTATCAATTCCTATCAGGCAGAAAGTCCCTTGAGGACTGCTGACACCTAGAAGAGGGTCCAACAGGAACAGAACAGGGACAAAACCTCAAACAACAGAGATTGGAAACATTGATTGAAGAAGTAGCCTGGCTTCACTGCCTGGAGAAGTCAAGTATGAAGTAATCATTCCCACCCCTTTTTTCTTTTTTGTCTTTGTCTTTCATTATTTCACTTTGTAACTTTAATTCTGTCTCCAGAACAAAGGAGTCAGATTCGGGGTCCTGCTGAGATTTCATTTTCTTCAAATTCTCTTTTTCATTCAGGCTGTAGGTGGCAGTTGAACAGGGATGGACACACAGGGTCAGCACATGCTCCTTATTTCTTCTTATATAAAGGCTCCTGAAGAATTTAAAGCACTTAAGAGAAAGAAGTTATCATAAACCCCATGGAAAAAAACAAAAAAAAAACAAAAAAAAAAACCACCCCAGAAAACAACAGAAAATCTCAAGGCAATCATTGTCTCTGAAGTATTATAGGCATTACACAGCAGCAGAAGGAGGGAAAACAATGCTGTGAAGAATAAAACGGTAATGAGCATCTGGGCATGAGAGGTAGAGGGGGAGGAAAAGGGGAAAATATCAGAGCACTGACAATTCAGGGCTGGATGCTTTCCATAATATAGTGCCAAACTTGCTTTTCAAGACCTGTGGTTGCAGTTGCAGCATCAACATTGTGTTTGTGTTGGACCTCACCCAGAGGAGCTCTGGGGAACCACTTAGTTTATGTCTGTGTTCACAGACGCTGAACACAGCAAGGGGGCAAAACAAAGGCAGGAGAGTTGAATTATTGCAAAATGTAGGAACCCATAAGATGTTCTTCCTCTTTTGACTTCAAAGTGCATTGCTTTCCATGCAGTACTTTTAGGCAGGAGAAATATCAGTGCAGAACACAAGGTCTCTGAACAGGAGCAGAGAACTTACTATTACCATTGTTATTTTTTGCACCACGTGGGCACCTTGGAGTAGGATTCATGATCTGTAATGTTATTGTTCTAGGTACTGTGGAAATACAGATCACAAAGACTGTTCATGTCCCAGATTCAAGTTTTTTATGTGATCATTTGACTTTGTGTCACCTGCAACAGAATGTGGAGGTACCTTGCTTACAGAGGTTACTGTAGTTCAGCTGTTTTGGAGGATTTTTTTAAGACACAGTAACTTGAACATGTGCCTGAGCCTCTACAGAGTCTAAAAACTCACAATCCCATTTTATACCCTGCAGCCCCTCGAGGAGAAATAAATCCTCAGAAAATTTATATATTGCATTGTTCTGTGGAAATTTGCATGCAGAAATAATCAGAAGGGGGAAGAGGTAGTTTTATGCTTCTCCTTGATCTTGAATAAACAGAAGTTTACTCATCAGCCAGGAGGGATTTCTTCTTTCTTTCAGCTGTTTCTGACAAGCAAGGGAGTTATTTCCTATGTTTCTCTTTCTTTGAAAGGAAACAAGCTAATAACATATTTCTCCACTACCTGACATCATTAGTAAATCTTACTGCTACAGATGAATAACAAAAACCAAATGTTGGGCAATTTTCACTTCTCCCAGGTGAAAAATAGGTTGTCTGCAGCAGGTGAAAATTGGGAGGCATCAACACACTGCAAATATGACTGCTTAATTTATGGGCAGTTACTGCTTCTTCAGGGAGTTTTGTAATGAAACTTCTCCAAACAATGCTTGATAACTTAACCTAAAAGCCAGGTTCAGCTGTGGCGAATAGTGCTCCATTCCAGTAACAGACCAGGGGCAAAAGTGCTTTTGGAGAAAATGGATACTTGTGGTATTTTCCCAAATATTGCAGGGTGTGAATTCACCATGCGTGGAGTATCCCATGTTTCTACACCTCTTGTTAGCAGGCAGCAATAAGGTGTCATTCAAAACAGAGTAAGTAGTATCTCAATGGCATTGAGCAAACACTAAGAAGATGGTAGAGCTCTGTTGATGTCCCATCCTTTAACTATGGAGATGAGGCTTTGTTGGGAATGAGGATGGCAGCATCTGGCTTGAAATAGGTATCATGTAATGAAAGGTGAGTCTGGAAGGTCAGGACTTAATGGGGACAGAGTGGAATGCTATAGTCCCAGAGGTGAAATAAAATATATGTAAAACGTGTCTACAATTATTTAAAAAACATAGAGAGAAAGGGCAACAAACAGGATCCATGGAATGAAATGGCTTTCAAACAAGAAATATGCCAGAATTCTTCACTGGAAAATAAATGTCCTTGAAGGGATGTGACTTCTTTACCCAAAGCCACGTAAACTGTGGAACTTGTTGCTAGAGGATGTGGGGAACAACTAAAAGATGCACAGTGAGCCTGGGAAAATCTTTACAGTGGTTCAACACAAAAATATTGGGTGAACAGAATAAAAAGCAGCTGGGTTCTGCTGCTGAGCTAGTGCTTGAAAGGATTCAGTCCCTTCCTGCCTGAGTGGGTGATACATTTTAATCACATTGAGATGCAAAAGCCTTTCCAATGGCTCTGGACCTCCTGCATCTCTGAGCTGTGCTCTTTGAATTTGGAGCAGACGGGGGGGGGGGAGGAGTTCAGTCTGCATAGTCCCCCAACTACCAAGGTTATTCTGGATTTGAGTGATAAAGAACAAACTAGCTGGTGAAATAGTCTCATTTGACCTGGGAAAATCTATGAATTCTTGAATCCAAATAATAGCCATTGCATAATCGTAAGAAGGGGGGCTCATGATCAGCTTTTGACATCATTCTGGGGGTAGGGGAGAAGAAACAGTATTTTTTCCCTTTTGTCTTTGCTTATGCCATTTCTGGACCAGGGAGTGTCGTGGTTTAACCTCAGCCGGCAACTGAGCACCACGCAGCCGCTCGCTCACTCCCCCACAGTGGGATGAGGGAGAGAATTGGAAGGGGAAAAGTGAGAAAACTCGTGGGTTGAGATAAAGACAGTTTAATAGGGAAAGCAAAAACCACATGCACAAGCAAAGCAAAACAAGGAATTCATTCACTACTTCCCATGGGCAGGCAGGTGTTCAGCCATCCCCAGGAATGCAGGGCTCCATCACCAAGTAACGGTTACTTGGGAAGACAAACGCCATCACTCTGAACGTCCCCCCTTTCCTCCTTCTTCCCCCAGCTTTATATGCTGAGCATGACGTCCCATGGTATGGAATGTCCCTTGGGTCAGTTTGGCTGTGCCCCCTCCCAGCTTCTCGTGCACCTCCAGCCTGCTCAGTCGGTAGAGCATGGGAAACTGAAAAGTCCTTGGCTAGTGTAAGCACTACCTAGCAACAACTAAAACATCGGTGAGTTATCAAGTTTATTCTCATCCTAAATCCAAAACACAGCACTGTACCAGCTGCTAGGAAGGAAATTAACTCTATCCCTGCCGAAACCAGGACAGGGAGGAATTAAGAAGCTCTTCTGTAATGCACAAAGAAGGTCTCAAAAACACATCCCTGGGCTGAAATGAACTGCCTGAAGTACATGCTTTCCGCGGTTCCACCAAACCACACAGTTCATTTGCCCAAAGCTGGGAAGCAGAACAAAAATGAGCTTATGTGTGAGATGAATAGCAGGACTCTGATGGAAATACTCCCAGCAGCTAAAATGCAGGAATGGCTTGCTTCGGAGGATGCTCTGGTAACACAGAGATCTGCATCCTGCCCTCCCTTGCTTCTGGGCTAAAATATATGGTGAGGAAAAGGGGAAAGAAATCTCCCTTCTTTTATCACACGCACAATGTGTTTTATCCGCTTTTCTCTGCAGTTTTACCAATTCTAGTCACAGTAGAAGCAGTTTGGACAGGACTCAGAAAATAGATCCTGATTTCCAATTAGTTTCTTTGTCATTCTTCGCCCTTCTCTCACTGGTGCTGGCCATAAGCAGCTCCTGCTGCAGTCAGTGGGACATGAGACAGGATATGAAACTATCAATTTCTTCTTTGCTTGCTGCCTCAGTTTCTTATCTCAGCAATAGCACAAGTATTCTTTATCAAGATTATGGTCATCACAATGTTAATCCCTGTAAAGGTCTTCAGATCATGTGAGAAAGAGGCACAAATTATTACTGAACTGATGAGGGGGAATGAGCTGTTACAGAACAGACCAGTGATGCACTTAGTCTTATGTCCAGTCCCCAATAGCTGTTGCCGCCTGCACCAGCAGAAGACATAAACACTATCAAGGCCTTTCCAGGCACACTGGGGTTTTTTTTCTTTCCTTTTTTTTTTCTTTTGGGATTAATTTTGTAGATGTATGTCACTGCATCACCTCAAGTACACAAGCAAATTCCTGACCTCTGATAATAACCAGCAATTGTTCTGGTACCTCTCCATTGATTGATTTTTTTGTCCTTATAATGTTTCTCTAAGCTCATTCAGCTGCAGTGACCGCACCTCTTACAGTAAGGTGTTTGCATTGACATTGCTGGAAACCCCTGCAGACATGACAGGAAAGGTTTAGAAACCATCAGTTCAGTGTACATGATCTATCCCAAGCTGAAACTCACCTGGAGAAGAGTCATTGAGAGGGTTCAGGGCAGCTGCCCTCCGTATCTTCTCCAGACAAGTCTCTTGCTCCTTTTTAATGATGCAGTTGGAATGGGTTGCTGTAACCTGAAATGTGGGGGAAAAAATGTGGAGAAAGAATAATTAAAAACTTAAAATAGCTGGTGACTTTATGATGAAACATCAGTAAGTTTTGAGGTCTCATTCCAAAAAGAAATAAAAACATCCTTAGAAGATGAGAGAAAACTCAACAAACTTCTTCCCCCTCCTCCTCCCCCCGCCCCCCGGAAGGCTGAAGGCCAAACTATGGAATTATAATGCTTATAAATTGTTTGGGGCTTTTGTGTTTTTATGTTACACTGTCCAAGTGTAATTTCTAATGTGTTTGCTTTATTTTATTGTATTCCTTCCTCATATAAGGCTGAAGCAAAGCTACCTCTAAATAGAGAAATAATTTAAAGAGGAATCAGAAATCAGCTGAGGCTCAGTTCGATCTTCCACCAGTTTCTTATGAGTCTTGCACAATCCATCAACCTCACTCAGGACTCAAAACTAAATTAAAAGCTCTTTCTCTTAGTCTTTCACCCTGTCCATTCCTTAATGTTTCCTTCTTCCTTTATTCCCAGTGAATACAAGGCTACTTTCTTGCCAAAAAAGAATGCAATGCCAATTAAACTGAGGTGACTTGATCCAAAACTTTTCTTTTTCTTTTTTCTTTTTTTTCCCCATCTTTAAGGCTCTAAGGCAGCCCGCTACAAGGAAAAAAGTGGGGGATTAAAAAAAAAAAAAAAAAAAAAAAAGATAAATGAGTCTGTAACAGGAACATTGCAGTCAACAGAATGCAGGCAATCCCAAAGCAGCAACAAAATAAGAATGGGACCCATTCCCAGAAATCAATACAAAATTTCATTCCTGTTGTAGAAAGTGGCCAGGGGATATCAGTTCAGGGGAAATACAATCTCAGGTTTCATTAGATCATTTTATAGGGGTACTGCTAAGGTTCAAATCACACTCTGTGGCAAGCACCATGAAAATCAGTGCACTGGTTGAAGATAGGATAGGTCACCCTGGTTCTCTGCAAGCAGCTTTGCTGTTTCATATTTCCCATCCCATTTCCTTCACTCTTGACGATGGAGAACTACAGAGGAAGTAGAGTGCACCTGCCAAGCGGTCTGTTTTCCTTTACCTGCTAAGTAAGAACAAGCAAACAGGGAAAGCAACCCCTGAATTCCATCTGCTTCAGTTTATTTTTGGAGCCCTATCTGCACAGGTCAACTTTACTTCCCTCACATCCCAGTAGAGGGAATGGAGTGAACGGTTTGGGTCACTAATGCATCGAACTGCCACCACACACTCAATACACACAGTGAATCCCAAGGCACACGTAATCCTAGTCTGGTGGTGCTTGTGTTGTGTTTTTGTGTGTGCTAGGAGGCAGGGAGCCATTTGCACACTTCTGATGTTGTAACAGTTACAAGCCACCGCCCCTAAGTCAAAGACAGAGAGTTTCCTAATGGACTCTACTTTACTAGCTTTACTCACCATTTGTAGGAACTGATAATGCTACAGTTTCATCTCCAAGATCCCAGTAATAAATTTCAGTTATTTTCGCCGTGGGATACACCAGGCATAACCATATTAGATTTGTTTGTCTTCAAAACAAACACTGTTCTGTTCTAGGGGCTCCCAAGGGCCTGGAAAATGTATATTATCACAGATCTCTGGGATCTCCCAAGAACATAAGGGCTTTTGCTACATCATCCCCTAAACCTCACCAAAGATTGAGAAAATTGCATTGGCTGACATTCAAGTTCTTAGAATATCTTTTAAAAAAAAGAGAAATAGCAAGTAAATCAGGCTTCTGCTGCTAGTACTGGTTTACTCTCCACAGTTGCCCAGGTCTGAAAGGAGTGTCCAGGGGTTGTCTCAGTACATGAACGTGGCAGTTTCTACACAGTTCAGTATATGCAGATTAGAAAAGCTGTCATATTATAATAATAATAATATAATTACAATATAAATTGTCTATGCAAAGAGGATAAGAATAAACAAAAGGAAATGTTTCTTCACACACTTATTGTTAACTTGCAGAACTCTTTTCAGCTTGATATTGTGGATGTTAAATGTTATAGGAGTTCAAAACATAAATGTATGTGTGTACGTATGTATGCAAAGTCCATCAGAGGACACCAAACACTAAGAAACCCACCATGCCCATCTTTTGATGTCCTATGGGGTAACTCCAGACCTTTGAGAAAAAGGTTTAGATTCAATCTATAGTCAAAGGAAAAAAGAGTGTGATTTATCCTTCTTATTTTTGGTGTCTTCTTTAGCAGAGGCAAATCAAAGCCAGGACTTGACTGATTATAAAGAAAACCTAAGGTTAAAAGCTCATATTTTATTGTTTTCCTTGCAGACAGGCACATCTAGTCAGATGTATCTGACTAAACTGACTAAATTTAGTCAGTTTGGCTCAGGAGGTATTTGAAATGCAGGCTGCTGGGCACAGAGAGAACATTAGAGCGATATGCTTCACCTATCACTGTAGCCTTCCTTAAGCTTTCACTATTAGCAGGCTACTTTGATATCACTTCCCAAAACCATCTTTATGCTGTTTTGTTGCACTCTTCATCAACAGATTTAAAAAAAAAAAAATATTGAGGAACACGGAAACCGAGACAGAAAGCAAAGAAAAGGAGGAAACAGTAACCTCAGAGCCAAAGGAGAGAGTAGAAGCTGCCTGTCATCTCTGCTAATTAGCAATGCCGTATCTGAGAAAATAAGACCAGGTTTGGATAGTTTATAACAAAAGGCTATAAAAAAAAAAACAAAACAAAACAAAAACCACTTTATAAAAAAGTTTTATATTCATCTCTGTTGAATGCAAAGATGCATTAATGTTACCATGTTTTCCTGAAAGGATCCACATGTTTCATGTTTCTCCATTAACTATGGACTGGTCGAGCCTTTAATGTGTCAAGTCAGTGTTTAACAACTGAACGGCAGAGCACAATTCAAATGGAAGTGTAAGCTGGAACTTCATGGCCTCCTGATTTAATTTCTTTTGCCTCAAGGACATTTGCAATTTCCTGAGTTCAGTAGAGACAGTCTGGTTTCAGTTTCCCAGAAGATATTAGTGATATGTGCAGTTAAAGAATATTTTGACACATACTAGAAAAATCAAGAAACCAAGTGGATAGTGCATGAAATTAATTCTTCTTAAAAAAATCATTACTCTCAATGGAGTGAAGGAGTTTGACTCACACCAATTTTGAAAGGGCATATATTTGTATAGATACAAATACAGTAAATACAATCAATGTCTGTTTAGTTCTGAGAGAACACAAAAAGACAAAAGCAGCTGCCTACAGCTCTATAAATGTGTGTCGTGGTTTAGCCTCAGTCGGCAACTGAGCACCACGCAGCCGCTCGCTTACTCCCCCCTCCCCGGTGGGATGGGGGAGAGAATGAGAAGAGCACAAGTGAGAAAAACTTGTGGGTTGAGATAAAAACAGTTTAATAATTGAAATAAAATTATAGTAATAATAATATAATAATATTAATAATAATAATAATAATACACAAAGCAAGTGATGCACAGTGCAATCTCTCACCACCCTTTTACCGATGCCCAGCCAGTCCCCGAGCAGCGGCCCCCCCCGGCCAGCTTCCC